ATCGGTTTGACGTAAGAACACAATGTCTGGCCGACATCAATGTCCAATGTCGGACAGATGTTACATTATGCAACCTAAAAACAATCAAATATCAACATCTAATGATGTTATAGCTTGATATTGCGCGGACGTTACCAACATGACGTCTATCAGATGTTGGATTTTGGTTGCCATACCTGATGAATAAATGTCAGTATTTGACGTCAATATGACGTTGGATTAAGAAGTTAGCTCAACGTTGGATTTTGGTCATTTTTAAACGCAACCTAAAAACAACCAAATATCACCATTGTTTCACATTGTTATTGGACGTCAAAATTACATTGTCCTTAGACGCTGGCGACCTACATCTAACCTAATATCAATGTCTAATGATGTTACTGCTGTTTGGGGTCTGTTTGACAGAGTGCGCGCGACATGTCTGGTGTCAGAAGAGCGAGGAGGGATCCGGGGGTGAGAAGGGTTCGCGACTTATTTGAAGACTGGGAGGGAGAAGCGCAATTTCCGAGAGATTATCACTCTTGCGGCCATTATGAGTCCCTCAAATGCATAGAGACTCCTATGCATGTCCAAATATCATGTTTAACAACTATCGTGAGACGCGATCCAGTGGTAGAAATATAATTGATAAACTGTTCGACGTGCACTGCTCTTCTTTGGAGTTTAGAGGAGCGCATGACAATCCGTGGCTGTGTGTGTGTGTGTGGCTCTGTCTGGCTGGCTGTGTGTGGTCACGTGATGTGCATTTTCAGCAGACGGAGGGCTGTTCAGAAATGCTAGGTAAAACGGTGTGGATGCGGATTATTTTCGTTCTAAAATGCCATTTTAACACTAAGACGTATTAGTGTAAACGGGCCAAGTGTGTATTTTTCGCGGGCAGATTTTACGACGGGGCGGGGTGGAGATCGGCGATGCCGGCTCAGCATTGTGCTGTCTATTGGCCATCGGCCATCGTCTATCGGCCCAACCCTAGTCAAAATAACATTGCCTTTACACGCTGGCAACCTAAATCTAACCTAATATCAACATCTAATGATGTTACAGCTTGACGTTGTGTGGACGTTACCACTATGACGTCTATCAAATGTTAGATTTTGGTTGCCATACCTGATGAATTAATGTCAGTATTTGATGTCAATATGATGTTGGTTTAGTATGTTGGCCCGACGATAGATTTTAGCCATTTTCCAACACAACCCAAAAACAACCAAATATCAACGTAATTTCACGTCATTATTTGACATCAAATTAACGTTGCCCTTAGAAGCTGGCGCCCCAAATCTAACCTAATATCAATGTCTATCAATGCCTAATATCAGTTTGACTGAGTGCGCACGACATGTCTGGTGTCTGAAGAGAGAGGAGGGATCAGGGGCTGAGAAGGGTTCGCAACTTATTTGAGGACCAGGAGGGAGACGTGCGATTTCCGAAAGATTATCACTCTTGCGGGCATTATGAGTCCCGCAAATGCATAGAGACTTCCGGAACTTTCGGGAGACTTGGGATGTCTGAATATCACGTTTAACAACTATTGTGAGACACAATCCAGCGGTAGAAATATAATTGATAAACTGTTCGACGTGCACTGCTCTTCTTTGGAGTTTAGAGGAGCGCATGACAATCCGTGGCTGTGTGTGTGTGTGTGGCTCTGTCTGGCTGGCTGTGTGTGGTCACGTGATGTGCATTTTCAGCAGACGGTGGGCTGTTCAGAAATGCTAGGTAAAACGGTGTGGATGCGGATTATTTTCGTTCTAAAATGCCATTTTAACACTAAGACGTATTAGTGTAAACGGGGCCAAGTGTGTATTTGTCGCGGGCAGATTTTGCGACGGGGCGGGGTGGAGGACTGGCGATTCCGGTTCAGCATCGTGGTGTCTATTGGCCATCGGCTATAGTCTATCGGCCCAACCCTAGTCAAAATAACATTGCCCTTACATGCTGGCAACCTAAATCTAACCTAATATCAACATCTAATGATGTTACAGCTTGACGTTGTGTGGACGTTACCACTATGATACCTATCAGATGTTAGATTTTGGTTGCTATACCTGATGAATTAATATCAGTATTTGATTTCAATATGATGCTGGTTTAGGATGTTAGCTCGACGATAGATTTTAGCCACTTTCCAACACAATTCAAAAACAACCAAATATCAACGTAATTTCACGTCATTATTGGACATCAAATTAACATTGCCCTTAGATGCTGGCAACCCAAATCTAACCTAATATCAATGTCTATCAATGCCTAATATCAGTTTGACTGAGTGCGCGCGACATGTCTGGTGTCTGAAGAGAAAGGAGGGATCCGGGGCTGAGAAGGGTTCGCAACTTATTTGAGGACCAGGAGGGAGACGTGCGATTTCCGAAAGATTATCACTCTTGCGGGCATTATGAGTCCCGCAAATGCATAGAGACTTCCGGAACTTTCGGGAGACTTGGGATGTCTGAATATCACGTTTAACAACTATTGTGAGACACAATCCAGCGGTAGAAATATAATTGATAAACTGTCCGACGTGCACTGCTCTTCTTTGGAGCTTAGAGGAGCGAATGACAGTCCGTGGCTGTGTGTGTGTGGCTCAGTCTGTCTGTCTGTGTGTGGTCACGTGATGTGCATTTTCAGCAGACGGTGGGCTGTTCAGAAATGCTAGGTAAAACGGTGTGGATGCGGATCATTTTCGTTCTAAAATGCCATTTTAACACTTAGACGTATTAGTGTAAACGGGGCCAAGTGTGTATTTTTCGCGGGCAGATTTTGCGACGGGGAGGGGTGGAGGATTGGCGATGCCGCCTCAGCATCGTGCTGTCTATTGGCCATCGGTAGGGCCAGATGGAATCTGCGGACGTTTTTTGCTATTTCTGCGGAGAATTTTGGTAAAAATCTGCAGATTTCTGCGTAATTATTTTGGGAGTATCCAGCGGAGTATCATAAATTACACTTTAATATATTAAATAAAAAGTAATAAATTACTGAATAAAAACTGAATAAATTCCGATTTACACATTTACTCAAGTAAATAAACAGAATTTATAATGGGCTAAAAAACTTCAAAATTCTGCGGATAATCTGCAGAAAATCTGCAGAATTCTGCGCGCGCAGATTCCGTGTGGGCCTAGCCATCGGTCATCGTCTATCTGCCCAACCCTAGTCAAAATAACATTGTCCTTAAAAGCTGGCGACCCAAATCTAACCTTATATCAAGCGTTAGATTTTGGTTGCCATACCTGACGAATAAATGCCAGTATTTGACAACAATATGACGTTGGATTAAGATGTTAGCTCGACGATGGATTTTGGCCACTTTCCAACACAACCCAAAACCAACCAAATATCAATGTCGTTTCACATCATTATTGGACATTAAATAATATTCCCCTTAGATGCTGGCGACCCAAATCTAACCTAATATCAACGTCTAATGATGTTACAACTTGAGGTTGTGTGGACGTTACCACAATGTCTATCAGACGTTGGATTTTGGTTGCCATACTTGGTGAATAAATGTCAGTATTTGACATCAACATGACGTTGGTTTAGGATGTTGGCTCAACAAAGGATTTTGGCCACTTTCCAACACAACCCAAAAACAACCAAATATCAACGTCATTTCACGTCATTATTGGTCGTCAAAATAACATTGCCCTGGAGACCCAAATCTAACCTGAAATCAATGTCTTATGACGTTGTGTCTGCTGGGTGAGTACTTCACAAAATCCATTTGCAGTACTGTTTACTACTTTTTTTAAATAGTACTTAATAATTCAGCAGGTTTTTATCTTAAAATTCACATTTGGCATTTTGATCATATAACAAGTCGAGAAAAAAAGAGAAAAAGAGAAACGATGCTTCTGGTTGGTCATCACACCGAAGATGGAAAATCAGCTCGAGTGTATTTTGTAGTGGGCTTCGATATTCTGTGGTCACATTTTGGCAAATGCAATAGGAAAGCGTGCATACTGTGTGCAGCATACATTCTATACACTGCAGTGTGCCAAACATATACATCTCTCTCGGGCTCCATAAGCAAATCACAAGGCCAAAGTGGTTCAAAAGGGGAAATTCTGGAAGTTTGTAAAGGTGAAAGGATGGACGGGGGGTAAACGGTCAGGAAACTGAGGGGTCGGCGATGACGTCACTTCTCCTGCGGGGCTGGAGCAGTTGTTAATGGGGGCGACAAAAGGTGAAGGTCTGACTGTAGCTCAAGCCACATGCACATGAGTTCGACACTTTTGGGTCAAAAAAATCCCAGCAAATAAGACATTTAACACCATCCATTGGTTTTGTAATGAAACAGTAACACTGACAAATAAATAAGCACTAATGATAGAACGACAACACAACATACAAAATAAAATAACACTTGTCCAACACAGTGAAGATTGCATAATCAGAAATGACTATTTTTGGCACAAAAGAAGAATGCTGTGATTGTGTGAGCCTTTCAAACTGGATGTTTGCTCCTTCATGCATGAATGCGATTGTCCCTCACAGTGAAAAATGAGTGCACGGAGAACCGGCTGACTGTACGCCAACTTCTCTACACTTAAAAACATCATTCATTGGATCGTTTTTTAAACGTAAGTGGTTGAAAACTATTTATGTGGGCTGAATTTAAACAAATTAAGTTGAAAATGATGACATTCATTCATTCATTTTTTTGTCGGCTTAGTCCCTTTATTAATCCGGGGTCGCCACAGTGGAATGAACCGCCAACTTACCCAGCAAGTTTTTGCGCAGCGGATGCCCTTCCAGCCGCAACCCATCTCTCGGAAACTTTCACATACACTCATTCACACACACACTCATACACTAGACAATTTAGCCTACCCAATTCACCTTTACCGCATGTCTTTGGGCAGTGAAGGGAACCGGAGCACCCGGAGGAAACCCACGCGAACGCAGGGAGAACATGCAAACTCCACACGGAAACGCCAACTGAGCTGAGGCTCGAACCAGCGACCTTCTTGCTGTGAGGTGAACGTGCTACTCACTGCGCCGCCCATGATAACATTTAATTTAATTTAATTTAGCCAATATAAATAGTTTGCAACCACTTACCTTAAGGAAAAATTGTCAATCCAATGAATCATTTTTTTCAGTGTATGAACTCCAACTGTGCCTAGTGCTCTAACAATCCCTTGCCTTTAGTGCCCTGACCCTGGGATACTAAGATAAAGATTCAGGTGTATTCCACCACCAACAAAAATAGCCCATTTTGATGGGTGGTAGCGTTGAAAATGTGGTGAAAACTTTGCTGAAAGGCAAAGAAACATGGAAATACAGTGCAGGATGCATTTGAGAACAAAATAAATGCATCAGATACAGTAATAACACATGGAATCAGTTTCTTCTGGCATTACATACCAGTGTTGTAGGCGAATCTCACAAAAAAAAAAAGTCAGTGTGGTCCAAACAGTCCTTTTGATTTTCATTGCTGTATTATTTAAATGGGAAGTAACAAATTTCCCACATTACAGCAATGAAAGAGGGGGAAATGTGCTTAATGTTGCACTGCATAAGTTTAAACGGTCATAAAACCAGGCTTTGTGTTGGTTATGAGTTAGACATTTCTTTAGGAGATTCTCCCTTTCTATTCTCATTATTTGTAGACTCTCGTTATTTGTAGACCACTGATGGCAAATCGAATACTTTTAAAGTGTCAATTTTTTTCCCTTTGACGCAACGTTAAAGTGTTTAGAGTCTGCAAACATGAGCAACAAAAAACTGGAGTAAGACATTAGAGGAACAAATGCCCAAAGTGCAGCTGATAAAAGGATAGCGTCCTGTGTATCCCTGTCTCTGAAGGAGAAAATGGGACCGGGACGCCTCCTCTCTCACTGTATCAGCAGGCCGTGTGCAGTGCAATGCATACATCATCAGTCCACCCTCTCACAGAAAAACAACAACTATTATATTACCCACTTATACAAAAATAAATCAATCGATTAAAACATGGTTTTAAGATAAGCCTCTGTACAGTACGTTATAAAATAGCCTCAAATATTTACATATAGACAAAAATAACACACACACAAACACACACACAAAACCCTACAAGCGATCTGTCCTGTACAATATACACCTGAATAAAAAGACATGTTAAGAGGTACTTAAGTGTATGGCTTGATAGGAAAAATTTCCCTATATATACATAAATGAAATTATTATATATATTTATATCTATGCTTACTTAAATATCCCTGGAATCATGAAAGTGACGTACGGAGAGTGCACCACGCACACCGCAGACTACAACATGGCTCAAGTCTTCAAAGTCATCCGCCATGTTCCCCAAACCAAGAGTTTTGCTTTGGTGATCAAAGGTCAGACAACGGTTCATGGAGATTAAGATCCACAACTGGTCCATAGAGAATTTGGACTATGGACAAGCTGCATCTACTGTGGTAGAAGCATGCAGGAGTCTCCTTCCAGATTAGACAGTTTATTGGGATGAGGGTAGTAGTCTGCCAACTGGTCCTCGGTCAAAGCAACATCTCCGACTTTGGACCGAAGACAGCAGCTCAGTAGTATTCACAGACACGCAAGTCCAGTGCTAACAGAGTATGGACATCCCATCTGCGGTGAGTAGCTGGCCACTGGTGGGGTCGTAAGTGCCGGCCAGATAGTACAGGTCATGGTAGCTCCCGTCAGACTTCCTGTTGCGGGTCAGTCGATCATATTCCTCACAGGTGACCACCTGGCACTTATGAGAGATTGTCTGGACGTCGTTTTCATCTTCATGGCATGACTGGTACAGAGCATGCTAACGAGAGAAAAAAAACAAACGTATTATGTGCTATAGCATTGTCCTATTGTCTAGTCCCCATTATCAAAAACAATTAACAGTGCCTAATTTGTGGCTTTTGCAATAACAATCAAGCTTTAATTACAGAATTAGCTTTAATTACAGAACATCCAAAAAATTACCATAATAATATTTGTAACTTTTGTCACATTCATTCATTTTCTTGTCGGCTTAGCCCCTTTATTAATCCGGGGTTGCCACAGCGGAATGAACCGCCCACTTATCCAGCAAGTTTTTACGCAGCGGATGCCCTTCCAGCTGCAACCCATCTCTGGGAAACATCCACACACATATTCACACACACTACAGACAATTTAGCCAACCCAATTCACCTGTACCACATGTATTTGGACTGTGGGGGAAACCGGAGTACCCCAGGGAAACCCATGCGAAGGCAGGGAGAACATGCAAACTCCACACAGAAACGCCAACTGAGCCGAGGTTCGAACCAGCGACCTTCTTGCTGTGAGGCGAATGTGCTACCCACTGCGCCACTGCCTCGCCCCACTTTTGTCACATTCAAATGCCAATTCGCACAATATTTTGTTCACACTTCATTTTAAGGTACAATTCTCACTAATATGGCTTTTAGCTGAATAAACTCCTATTTTGCTGCTTATTAATGGGTATTAAGGTAGTTGGGTTTAGGTATTGGGTAGGATTAGGGATGTAGAATAAAATCATGCAGAAAAAGTACAAATAAGCAGCCAATATTGTAACAATAAGTAGGTAATAAGTCACTAGTTATTAGTGAGAACTGGTACTTAAACTAAGTGTTAGCAATATTTTGTATTGTGGCAGTGATTTGAGTGCAAGTTTGTGAGTTGCCTACTCAAATTAAACATTTATAGCATATTAAAAGTCCATTATGACTGACAAGACTATGGAGTATCGGGATACTCACTTTGCCATCGCGATGTCTTTTGCCAAGCTTGGTCTCTTCAGGGTGGTAGAACCACTTGACCTTCACAACCATACTGTTCTGCCACGATTCCCAGAAACTCTCTATCCGGCCGATCAATGGAAGGGGAGGATGTCCAGTTGAAAGGAACACAGCACAGTCTCCGACCCGCACGATGTCCTTGCCACGTACTATGGCTTTGTAGAAAAGCTTCCGGGCCTTTCCCTTAAGTCCACGTCGCTAATTTAATAAAGAGAGCTTCAGATGTTTGCAGACTGTTTGCACACAACAATTATTTGGTTTGTTTAAAGTGAAACTGTAGGTGAATGTGACAGCATGCATAATGACTGTTTCCAAACAGGCCCATCTGCTATTATTTGCACTAAATTTAACCACCCACTAAACAGCTTGTAGTTTGTGGTTTTACACTTACGATAAAATGTTTGAGCCAAAGGATGCACTGTTTTGACCACTGTAATAAAGCAAGTACCAAAACATTTACATCACTATACTTGAGCTAAGACTATTTGGTATCAGTAGTCGGGTTTCCATTCTAAAATAAAGCAAATCGTTTTGACGTTTTCAGAAAATCCCAAATGCATATTAGGTGTATTTTCATGAAGTTAGAGTAGATGCCTTATGCTGTGTTCACACCAAATGCGGAATGCGTAGATAAATTGCGCTATTCGCGCGTAAATAGCCGCATGAACAGTTGAGGTTACTCGCTTCATTAGCGCATCAAACCCCGCTTCATTCGCACGTCAAATTTGCTTCATTCGCGTGTCAAATTAGTTTCAGAACAGACGCGGATTTGCGTGATGGGCAGCGCTTCTGTCTGCCCCGTGACTCTAGCTTCATTGCTAAATGGCTAACTTGGATTTTATGAAGAAAATAACTGTGTTTATTTGTTTTATGAAGGCTGAAAAACAGCGTCGATACGTTTAGGGTCGTGTCTGAGTGCATCCTTGCAGAGGTGCATCCAGCTCTGTGAGCTCATAAACTCCTCCAGAAACTGAACAAGTTTGAGGACATTTGCGCCGCGTTAACCAATCAGGAGCTTGCTCTTGTTGGGGCGTGATCATGACGTATCGCCGGTTGTCGGTGTTCCGGGGGAAATCCTCCAGCTGACACCGACAACAGGCGATACGTCACAATCACGCCCTGACAAGAGCAAGCTCCTGATTGGTTAACGCGGTGCGAATGTCCGCTGAAGTTTAGATTTTTGAACTCGAGTGATTCGCACGACACGTTTGTTAATCGCGTCAAATGCGCAAAACGTTCAATTTGCGCCGCACCATTGGCGTCGCGCCATTGGCGACCCAGGATGTCTATTGCGTTTGCACTGACTTAACATGTAAATCACTCGCACTTGACGCGTGTTCCGCGTCTAGTGTGAACGCAGCATTACAGTATCACAAATTAATAATAACAGACAAATTAGCTAGCTTTTCAACAATTACTTACTTGTGTGGGGTTTCCTGACCACCTCCAAAGTTGTCTAGGTGGCAGGATTGGAGACACTCTGGGCTTGGTCTGATCTGCTAGAAGCCGTTGCCTCTTAACTAGATCTTTAGAGGATTTGGAAAGTGAACTGGCACACTCTTTTCTCTTCAGTTGCTTGCTGCCTGTATTGTGATTGCTTTGCCCTCCTTTGGCACTGGACACGGCCACAGCTTTGGCCACAAAAGTGTGCCGTGAGGGGCCCACAGGTGCTTCAGTGGTCTGAAGCATAGAGTGATGAGGGGTCATGCAGCTCTGGAGAAGCAGCGTGGAGCTTTCCTCATCTTCCGAGCTGTAAGAGGAGTCATTGTCAGAAGAGCACAGACTAGAACTTGAGAGAGAGCCTGAGCTGGAGGAGCTGGAAGAACCTGAGGAAGACGAGGAGACTGAGATACGAGAGAGAAATTGACCAGCGGTCCTTAAACCTCCAGAGGCGGAAGCAAGCGCATTGCTGTCTGTCCTAATCTCCACCTCTTCCTCATCCATATCCGAGTAAGAGCTCTGGCAGTCTCTGTGGCATCCAAGGTTTAAGTCTCCATACTCATTTAAGTGCAGTGATGGTGAGGCTTTCTTCTGGATTGATGTCCTTTTCAGTAAGAGCTCTGCTCTTGAGCCATCTCCTTTCCTGTTGTCCTTCACAAGCAGAACTGGATGTGAATAAACTTCTGCCCTGGGCAGACTACCCACCCCACTGGAGCCAAAGCCTGAGGCTCCCAGCAACAGGAGAGCCTTACTGTTCTTGGTCTTCGGAGATGTTACACCTTCATGATCCAGTTTGACTAGAAATTCTACTTTCCTGCCCCGAGGTGGTGCCGACTCCTCTGCCTTCTTCTTTTGACTATAAGAGGTGTTCTTGCCCTCCAGTGAAATGCCAGATGTCTGGCTGCCAAAGGATGAATAACCATTAGCTATGCTGCTGAATGAGTCCACTTCAAAAGAGCTACTGCTGAAGAGGCCTTTGGTTGGTGTGGTCATGGATACTGTAGGTCGAGAGGATATTTCTACCACTCTGCTTTTCAAGGTCTTCTTCGAGGTTGAGCCATTGAGCTGGAAAAAGTTAACAGGCATTCTCTTCCTGGGTGCAGCGACTGATGGCCATGTTAGAGCAGATGCTGAGCTCTTGGCTACGGTGTCTGAGAGAGACTTCTTTAGCCCCGAACCTTTAGGTCGTCCTGTAAGGCAAATGTTGAACAATTGCAGTACACTTTACGTTGACTGACATTCACAGTGCACAAGGATTTTTGCTCATGCTTATTTACTAAACAAAGGACACAAATATAAGCATGCACACCAATACGCAAAACCTCCAGGTGTAAAAGCAGTTCCCGTGTGTTTTTGGGCTCTATTTTGACAGTCCATGCGCAGAGCGCAAAACGCAGGGCGCAAACGCTTTCAGGGCGTGTCAGAACGCATTTTTGATAATTTAAGGATGGGAAAATCCGCTTTGCACCATGGCGCATGGTCTAAAAGGGTTGAGTTTATTTTCTTAATGAGTTATAGGTGTGTTTTGAGAATAAACCAATTAGAGCTTCATCTCCCATTCCCTTTAAAAGCCAGCTGCGTCGTGCCATAAGCGCATTTTGACGTAAAGTAAGTTCAATTTCGATTTTGCTCTCGTGGATAGGGAAACCTTTAGCCTATAAATAATTCATTTCGTTTGTTAAGCGCAAATATTTGTTTCACAACTATTTCTAAATTCAGTTCTAATTTCCAGCAAACGAATAAATTAACAATATTAACGAAGTGAGGTCAAAATACTGAGTTATTTCCAAATACACCTGTCATGCCCCATATGGTCTAAAATTTGGCAGTTGGACAAATCTAGGCTTGTTTTTAATAAAACAAATATAAATATGGATATAATAAATAATACTGCGTATTGCGTATTGCTCTACATCTTGTGTGTAGTGTGTAAGCCAGGCGCACTTTGCGCCAGACAATAGACCGACTTTGTTCTGGTCTAAAGATCAGACTATTTAGAGTTTCTCAAAATAGCAACGCGCCAAAACACAGCTGCTTTTTTAGACCAGAACGCCTATGGGCGCACATTTGAGTGCAAATGCATTTGCTATTTAAACAGGGTGGCGCAACACCTCAAAATCACCCTTGCGCCGAGCTAAAAGTAGCAAAAGAGTATTGCGCCGCGCCTTGCGCCACAGTGCGCCGGGTGTATGATAGGGCCCTTTATGTGTGATGTGCCATATTAATAACTTGTTGACCAATGAGATTGCCATTTTACCTTGCGTGCCTTGAGCTGTTAAAGTTAGTTAACATGACTTGGTAGCGCTCAAGCACAAAATGCTCTAACTGAGCACAGAGGAATTGCAGATCAAACAATCTGTTGATGAGTTTCACTTTGCCTAATTTACATTCATAGCTTTTTTTACTTTACCTTTTACCGCAAACGTTTAAGCAGTGGTTTGTGTGCTGTAGTGGAGGAGGTTAAAGAGAAGTGGAAAAACTTGCATTATAAACACACTATGGAAAGGTGTGAGAGTGACTTCTGTCCAACAAGCGAGTATCAGAAAAGTAAAACTTTGCTGCACCACCTGTTGTACTATGGAATTTCTGTTTATTGTTAAGCGGCATCTAATGTCAGGGAGTGATTTTGCATGTTCACTATGCTCATCGAATGGGTGTGAATGCTGAGAAATGTCTTGAAAAGCACAGATGATAAACATGAGCAAAATTGTCCCAGTGTATAAACCTTTACCATCATAGGCACAGTTAGAAAGCTGTCCAGATTTATTTTAGTTAGAACACGCACCTGGCCTTCTGACAGTCTTCTCCTGAGATTTAAACCTGTCCGCCCTTGCCATCTTCTCACTCACAGTCCTGCTTTCTTGCTCAGAGCTATTTTTACTTGGGTGTACCTCAGGGATGAGTGCAGTACTTGACTCAGTACCTAGAGGGCAGAAAAGGGGTAAATATATTTATTTATATTGAGCTTTCATGACCCTTATTGTGAATGTGAAATGTGAAGTCAACAATGCCAAATCAACTACAGAAGCTCTGCTCCAAATCCTAGTCTGCTAGACAGCATGCTAAAGTGCCACAGGTGAGGTATGTAGGCAGCTTTTAAGATACTTAGCTCTGGCCAAAATAAAAGATGGCATGCAAATTGATCTATTCCAAATAAAGCAGTCCCACTTCAACAAGCAAAAATCCACCAAGACAGTGGATGGAATATATGGGTGTACAGTGTAAAAACATTAGGATAGACTTCAACCTAACATTTGTGTTTACTTTTTGGGTTGAGTAGATGTGTGCACTTCGTAGACAGTATACTTTCTAGGTTTTAGAACAAAGCCATTGACCAGTTCTAGTTTTAATATCGAGCGAGGTAGATCTCAATAAACCAAAGTGGGACTTACATTGGATTTGGTACCCAGGAGGAAGGAAGCGAATATTGGAGAGGGATATCCACCCTCTATCTCCATCATCAAACTCCACCATAACTCCACCAGGCTTACTTTCATCACCACCTAGAAGTCCACCACAACTTATTTGAATGACTAGTATAGTAGTTCTTTAAGCTTGGAATCAGGGCTGCACAATATATCGAAAAATATCGTTATCGTGATAATAGCATATGCAATATTCATATATATTCATCAATATTCATGCAGAAAGTTGCAATAAATTATTTTTAAAGAGATGCACCAACATGAAAATTATAGCCAGTAGGTGACATTGTAATATAGGCTAGAAGATAACCCTGGAGTTGAAAATATATACCAGTGGTGTAACGGATCACAAATCTCACGGTTCTGATAACATTGTGGCTTTTTTAGTCACGGATCGGACCATTTTTCGCATCAGCCAAAAAAGGGAGGAGACAAATGTCATTTGCTTTCCATTTGCTACAAAAACAGTACTGCAGGAAACTTTTGGTTCACTGTTACTCCTACTGTTGCTGATAACACTAAATGTATAAATCTAACATTATTATTTGTACAACCCATATTTTAAGAGTTCACACTTAGATACTGTTTGACAACTTGTTAGCAAGTTAGGTTTGGCAAGCTGTCCCAGGAGAGAACCCTGAGCTCGGAGATAGTTGAGCCCAGGGCTCCCGCCAGGTCCATAGAGCATGTGAGGGAAGTACGAGGTCAGGTGTTCTCGAGAGCTCCCCTCGGCAAAAGAGGAAAGGAGGATAAGGGTTGGATGTGGGGTTTCTTCGGGAAAAGGAAGATAAGGGAGTAGTTCTTAGCTAGGTTACTTATAGTGAGTTTGAATGAATCTGATTGGCTAGGTAATGAGTGTAGATGAGTGGCCAGCTGCAGTCAATCATATCACTTGCTCCTCTCGAAATTAGTTTGTGAAACTTAATTTATTTTTTGTCTCACTTTCAATAAATGATTTAGTTATTCACTCATAAAACGCCATGTTTCATTGCTAGATTTATTTTTTTTGAAGAATTATTCAGTAGCATAATTTTTGACGGCCACCTATTGGTTAAATAATGTAATTGCTGCCAACAACTTTTATTTTAAGTGACAAGTTAAATGCATATAAAGGTGATTTTAATCTTTACCATAAACATCAGTGGTTTTATCTAAACTATAAACCGCTAACCGTTTGTAATTTCATAACTCAAGAGACTAAATCTCTTTTTTGTGTTTTTCAAACTGATTTGAATGCAGTGATTCAAAGGATTAATTAACATGCAAATCACCATCATTTATAGTTTATGTTGCGTGGGTGTTGAGATCCAGATCTTTTAAGGATTAATTGAGCAGCTTACACTGAATGCATTAATGCAGGCTAAACAAGTAGTGACAGAAAACACCTTTAATAACCTAAGAAACCCACCACATCCCGAATAACCTACCACAACTTCTTCCGTCATCATTATATTTTACAGGAAAGCCTAAATGCTATCATACATGTGATTTGAATGATGCAAGAGGCGATGTCTCTGCGATCTCTCTGTGATCGTTACAAATTTAGGATTATCCCTACCAGCAAAAAAAAAAACCTATTAATTCGCGGGTCACTTGTGTTCCGAACCGTGAGTTGTGATTCATATGAATCTGTGATCCGTTACACTCCTAATATACAGTAATGATGGAAGTAGCGGCAAGAGAGGAAACGGACAACAGCCAACAAGAATCTGAATATCTTCTCAGGTTTTCATTCATTCGTATTATCTAAATGTTTACACCTTGACAGTTTTTGTAGATCGGGAACATTTATTAGAGCAGAAAAATATTGATTATTACCTGTTTATATTACAATGACCATTGCATAATTTATAAAGGCTAATAACAGCAGCTTTCCTCTAGAAAAATGTTATAATCGCTATTGCTATACTCAACAGCAATACCGCATATTTTCCCAGTATCGTGCAGCCCTACTTTGAATGTGAGCTCAGAAAAAAATGGGTATTTAAATTAGGGAAACAAGATCTGTGTCTCACCCCTTCGCACATATCCCGGGTAAAGACAACGAGAGCGTTCACTCCAATAGGCACACACTCTTGTCCCTTCTGTTAGCACAGTCTCAGTGTCAGGGCGTACATCCAGTACCTAAGACACACACACAGGAACAAACTTCTATCAGGCACTGCCAGTGAAAGTGGTTTTGGACTCCCAACATGATAAATGACACACACAGAAGTCAATCAGCGAGGCTCTTATGAAAGCAGCACTTATCTCATGCCAGCATGTTAGGGCTGAAAGCCACGGAAGCGGAGGTGCGGTAAACACTAACTTGCTGAGTAATAATGAGGAGTGTGTGAATGGAGCGACTGTGATTGCAGGTTTTTGCAGAGTTTCTCTGTCTAACGGAGCACCTAGATCCCCCCCATTCAGCTCAAACCCCTTTCAGGTTGCTTTAATTTACGGTTTCCATGGTAACAGGCGCTCTCTGACTGATGGGATGTGAAGCTGGAAGGTTGTGCGTGTAGATTGGTGTCAAAGGTACATGGAAGATTGTAACGCTCAGGAAAGTGGAAGTTCAGTGTAATTAGAGACAGCTGCTGGAGACCGTTTACACAAAGAAACAGCTGAACAACCCAAATGTGTGTGTGTGTGTGTGTATTTCAGGAAAAGTCCAGCAATCTAACCAAGAGATGGCTGAGATTTAAATATCTGATTTACAGCTGAAGTCAAAACCTGTATATTTTTTTCTCCAATTTCTGTTTAAAGGAAAGATGATTTCTTCAACAAGTTTTTAAGCATATTAATTTTATTAACTCATTTCTAATAACTTATTTATTTTTTTTATTTCTCATTGGATCAATCAGGAATGTCCTTTTAGTTAATTTATATTTATCAACAGCCCTATTCTCCAGTCTAGATACTGTCATTGTTGCCTAAAAAAGCTATGGGTCAACCACTACATCTACTTAATATACATGTGTAATAAGTCAGAGATTTTGGTCTGGGCTTCTGATCCTTGTGATATTTTTATAAATGTGACACCAAAACACCAAACGCGAAGTGGGTTACGAGTAACACTGAACTGATGCCAAGTATGCAATGCGGTTTACAATATATAATTACAGCCCACTGGCTTAGATTAACTGTAATGCTACAACGCGAACAGATCATGTTAAGAGAGAACAACTTAAATTTGAGAGAGGAAAACCTGGGTTTGCTAATCATTTTCGTTCAGAAAAAGCTACAGAAAATGGCGAGCAACGGAAATGATTTAACTGAGACTTTATTTTAACAATCTTAATGAAAATTACCCAGAAAATAGGCTATGACTATGACATTCAAATGGGTTTGGAATGAATGTTAATATTCAGTCAATATTAATTATATATAGTAGCAGGATTTAATGTTTTTTTTTTTTTAACTTATTTATTTTTTATAATTATTTTTTAGGGGTTTTTACCTTTATTGGGATAAGACAGTGGAGATTTTTACAGACAGGAAATGTGGGAAGCAGAGATAGGGGAAAGATCGGCAAAGGACCTCGAGCCGGGAATCGAACTCGGGTCGCCGTGAGCACCTTGGTACTCTGTGTCGACGTACTAACCACTAGGCTATTGGCGCCGACATCTTTATTTAGTTTTACTAGAAATTATTTATTATCAATTAGACAGAGTCTCATCACATTTGCAGGTTTCTCAGTAGCGGAAGTCGTCTTAGTTGGGTAAACTTAGCTGTGTTTACACCACCGGATGAAACATCAGGCGCGAGTGATTTACACGTTACGTCAATGCAAAGATGCAAATAGATATCCTGCTCCACAATGTGTGCGAAAGACGCGATTCACGTGAATGAATCGGCGCAAATGGAGTGTTTTGCACGTTTGATGTGCTTAACACAAGTATTGTGCGAGTTGGAAAATCTGAACTCAAGTGGACATTCGTGCCACGTTTACCAATCAGCAGTTTGCTCTCGTATGAGCGTGATTATGACATAATTCCCAGTTTTTGGTGTCCCGATGTTTCCTGAGGAGTTTATGAACTCACAGAGCTGGGTGCACCTCTGAAAGGATCTAATGCATTCAGACACGACACTAAACAAAAAATTGTGTGAGAAGGCAACCAGAAGAGAGAACAATATCACGTTAATGTCCTGCACATAGACACACAGGATTTTCAATTAGAAATGGAACAATAACCGTTTTCAAGGTATACCGAGGTTTGGAAATGTCAAGGTTTTAATTTTTTTGTTTTACTGTTCCTAAGGTATATGTAAGTGGTTTTTTAACATGTTTTTTTTTTTTTTTTACAATTATTTTATTTAGTTTTTTAGGACAACAGTATCTCTAGCAGAAAAGGAAACTCCATATCAAAAGCTACTGGTCAGCACGTGATTCAGCAAACATTTGAGAAACAAATCCCTTATAAACCATCTTCCTATGCTGCTATGTGCATCCTATGTGCTATGCACTCGAACAGTGTGTTGGCTTACTTACTTTATAGCCAAAGAAAAGAAAGATAGAACAAAGATGCCTTTTCAAGTTATAAATAAATCTGTTTTGTAAACTAACTAAGACTAAGCAGGTCAATGACTTATTTTATTCACTTAGCTTAACATGTTTACTGTTCCAAAATAGTTCAAATGTTTCTTAAAATATAATATCTTGTGTTTAATAGGAATTTTTTTTTTTTACCCGGAAAAACATATTTCAGAGCAAAAATCACAATACCGTCATACCGTGAAAACGTGATATTTTTCCCCGAGGTTTTCATACCGTCAGAGTCTTATACCAGCACATGCCTATACTTAATCTAGGTCCTGGGCTGGCTAATCAAGCTCTTACTAGGCTTTCTAGAAACATCCTTGCAGGTGTGTTGGGGCAAGTTGGAACTAAAGTCTGCAAGACATCGGACCTCCAGGACTGAGTTTGAGAATCCCTGCTATAAAGCCTTAAAACCAATGTAATGGGAAACTTTAGTGTCCCATATTTGTGAAAAAATACATAGGAAAGCATGCACACTAATGTGTCTAGATGCAATCTTTTGGGTGAGAAAGTGTGAACAGAGGCACAGCTTGATTGCGGTATGAAAAAAATGAAGGCGAAAGGTGTGCTGAAAGGGGACTTTAGGATACGGTGTCGTGTATATGCATCTCAGGAAAGAGGATATTGTTTTGTGCTGCTCTTTAATGGAAGAGGGGATTTTGGAGGATGTGGTGATGTGTGGGTCCTGAGAGGCCAAAAGCTCAGAGCGTAGGCAGGTTTGTTTGCTGTAAGTGCGAAACTCACGGCTTCCTGCAGGAGCTGCTCCAGGGAGTAGACTCTGGGCCGGTTTCCTCTCTCCCCATCGATAACAATGCTGTAGCTGGAGAGAGAGAGAGAGCAGAAAGTACAAAGGAGTTATTTTGAGTTGTGTGTGTAATGCTTGGCCGTCCGTGTCGAACTCCTACAGAGGGCTCACTTTCATTGGCTGCGACTGATTCTCTTTAGCAGCACTTAAACTGCTGAAAAGAGGATGTGGGGTTGCCGACTGACTTGTTCAACCAGCTAAAGACTGTGGGAAACTAGTGGGTGATAATCACTGCGCATTTAACTCTGGTAGTCAAGCGCAATCCTTTTGGAGTAACAGTAATCTTTAATTGTGATGGTGCAAAAAATAACAGCAACAAGAATTTTTAAAAGGTGCAAAGCATCTCAAAAGCAGGGACACAAGAATCTACAGATTAATTGCCGTTAGGGCTGGTTCGAAAACCACATTTTAAGCTTCTAAGCTTCAATAGGAACCAACAACAAATTTTCAAAGCTTTGGAACTAATCAGCAATGAATATTCAAAGTTTGGGTAGTAATCAACGTGGGATACTCAAAGCATCAGTAAGCCAATACAGAAAATTAACAAAAATTTACGTGGCATATTCAAATCTTAGGTAGTAATCGACATGACATATTTAAACCTTTGCTAATAATCAACATGGAATATTACTTCAGCAGTATTCAACACAGAATATTCAAAGCTTCAGCAGTAATGATCGCAGAATATTCAAAGCTTCGGTAGTAATCAACATGAAATATTCAGTGCTTTGCTAATAATCAACATGGAATATCAGTTTGGCAGTATTCAACACGGAATGTTCAATGCTTAAATAGTAATCAAAATGGAATATTCAAAGCTTCGGCAGTAACCCAACACCAAAAATTCAAAGCGTCTGCAGTAATTAACAACAAATTTTCCAAAGCTTTGGAACTAATCAACACAGAATATTCAAAGATTCGGTAGTAATCAATGTGGAATATACAAAGCTTCAGAGTAACCAACACAGAATATTCAAATATTTCGTTGAAATCAACATGGCATACTCAAAGCTTTGGTAGTAATCAACATGGAATATTACTTCAGCAGTTTTTAACACGGAATGTTCAAAGCTTCAATAGTAATCAAAATAGAATATTCAAAGCTTAGACAGAAACCAACACCAAATATTCAAAGCTTCGGCAGTAACCAACACCAAATATTTAAAGCTTCGGCAGTAACCAACACCAAATATTTAAAGCTTCGGCAGTAACCAACACCAAATAGTTAAAGCTTCGGCAGTAACCAACACCAAATATTTAAAGCTTCGGCAATAATCAACACCAAATATTTAAAGCTTCGGCAGTAATCAACACCAAACATTCAAAGCTTCGGCAGAAACCAACACCAAATATTCAAAGCTTCAGCAGTAATCAACAACAAATTTTCCAAAACTTAAGAAGAAATCAACACAGAATATTCAAAGCCTCAGTAGTAACCAACACAAAATATCAAAATTTGGTAGAAATCAACATGACATATTCAAAGCTTCAGTTGAAATCATGAAATAATAAACGTTTTCGTAATAATCAACATACTGTAAAATATAACTTCGGCAGTATTCAACACAGAATATTCAAAGCTTCGGCGGTAATGATCGTGGAATATTCAAAGCTTCCGTAGTAATCAACATAAAATATTCAATGCTTTGGTAATAATCAACATGGAATATCACTTCGGCACTTTTCAACATGGAATATTTAAAGCTTCAATAGTAATCAAAAGGGAATATTCAAAGCTTCGGCAGTAACAAACACCAAATATTTAAAGCTTCTGCAGTAATCAACAAAGATTTTTTCAAAGCTTTTGAAGTAATCAACACCAAATAATCAAAGCTTTGGCAGTAATCGATGCAGAATATTCAATGCTACAGTAGTAACCAACACAGAATATTTGGTAGTAAACAATATATTCTGTATCAATATGGAAGCTTTTATTAAACACGGAATATTTAAAGCTTTAATAGTAACCGTACGTTCACACCGAAAGCAGCGAGAGCGTCAAAGTAGCCTGAAGTCATTCATTTTCAATGAGAGCCGGCGGCGATAAGCAGCATGGCGCGTCTTTGCCGGCGTGGGCGTCTAGAAGAGTTGAAATCAAGTCAACGTCATAGTAATAAGCTACGACGCAATTCAGCGGCAAGCAATCAGAATGAAGACGTCCACCGCTTGATAGGAGTTCAGAGAACACAGACCTGTGAACTTTGGTTCCGACCACAGTTGTTCCCAAGGGTTTGATGATTGCGATCGCCGGATTTCCAATTATTATTTACAATGTCTTCTTACAGGAACATGCACTGAATAAGTTACTTGTGAGTTACTGATGTGCAATAATGTATATATTATTAAAAAAGCGTGAATCTCACGCAACGTGACAGTACAAAATAGTATAGCTGCTTCAGGATATTTCAGACATATGGACACATATTGGATAAATAGAGCAAAGCCACACCACACACAACTTGATTGTTATATGACTTTGATAAGAAGCGCGCAACATTTTTCCGCTAGAAACATGTTTTATGCAGGAATGTAACTGATATGCTGCAACGGCTCCTTTAAATACGAAATCAATGTAGCGAGTTTTGACGCTCTCGCCGCCGGAGCTGAAGGCAGATAGCGTTGTCGCCAGGGCGGCCAGAGCGACCTTGGACGATCTCGCCGCTTTCGGTGTGAACGTACGGTAATCAAAATGGAATTTCCAAAGCTCCAACAGTAATGATCAAGGAATATTGAAAACTTTGGTAGTAAACAATACAGAATACTCCGTAACAATACGGAAGCTTCAAGAGTAATCAAAATGGAATATTCAAAGCTTCAGCAGTAACCAAAAACAATATTCAAAGCTTCGGTATTGATCAACACCAAATTTTCTGAAGTTTGGAAATACACAACACAGAATATCCAAAGCTTCTGCCGTAATCAATGCAGAATACTCAAAGCTTCAGTAGTAACCAACACCGAATATTCAAGTCTTTGGTAGAAATCAACAAGGAAAATACAAAGCTTCGGTAGTAATCAACATAAAATATTCAAAGTTTTGATGATAACCAATACGGAATATTACTTCAGCAGTAAACAACACTGAATATTCAAAGCTTCGACAGTAACCAACATGAAATATTTAACGTTTAGGTAATAATCAACACAGAATTTAACAGCAGTAATCAACACAGAATATTCAAAGCTTCAGTATTAATCAACACAAAATATTCAAAGCTTTGCAGTAACAAACACCAAATATTTAATGCTTTGGTAGTAATCAACATAGAATATTCAAAGCTATGGAAAGTTTCAGAGGGAGGGGCTAAACATATTCTTCTCTTTATTAAGGGAATTAGCATTTTGGTGCAATATGCACATGTGACACATTTAGATTTCTTAAAAAAAAAATTTAATAAACTACAGAAGATTGGAAATCAGAAGCATACGGTACTTAAACGCTTTGAGAACACACTTGTGAACACACGAGACACTGCATTAGTGATACAGGGATCTGTTAAGAGTAGTAATTTTAATAAGATAGCCTGACATTTTTCTAACTCCCATCAAGATATGGAATGAACCACCAACTATTCTGGCATATGTTTTACACAGCTGATGCCCTTCCAGCTGCAACCCAGTATTGGGAAACACCAATACACTTTCACATGTTCATCCAATTCACATATAGCGCGTGTCTTTTGACTGTAAGGGAAGCCGGAGCACACGGAGGCAACCCATGCAGCCAGCAACCTTCTTACTGTGTGCTAACCACTGAGCCTCTGTGCCACCTTGTTCTGTACTGCATAAGAAGTTCAGTCCAGAAACAGTGCATGCGCTTCAGGGTCTTTGTAGGTTTGTTTGTGTGTTATACACTTACACATCGGGTGACTCCAGAGGTTGCACTCGAGCAGCATACAAAAGTTCATCTTCTTTGGAGATCAGAATCTTGAGTCCATCGGTCAGGAGCTCTTTGGTCAGAACACAGTTTGGAGGAGCTGCAAGAGAGAAATAAACAACTCAATCTCAATCTTAAGTACAGCACAAGTGCCTATTTGTTAACGGACGCCTTGTTCACCTGGAGCAATTCTGCAGCTTGCTGACACCTTCCTCTCCTCATCCTCCTCCGAGAAGCTGCTGTCCTCACCCAAGTGGAAGCCCTCGTCCGCTGCAAAACTCTCCATCAGACGGCTGACCGCTCGACCTTTAGACTGAGCCAAACAAACAGCGCAATGACAATCACTTTCAAGAAAGTCTTACACTCTTTCCAGGATCAGCAGAAAATCACATCTGCCGACTGTGACTGTCAGAGTGTGTGAACATCTAATTTGCATGACGTTTATTTTTATTCAGCAAGAGAAGATGAGAGTTTAATGTGCTAAAAATTGAGAATGTTTGTTTATTTGTGTACCTCTCGAAGTCTGGTTCTCCGAGTACTGCCGTTGTCATCACTATCTGGAGACTGGGCTTTAGTTGACCAGTAACTTCTCCTCTACAGCGAAGAACAGAAAACGTCAAATATTAGTTCAAGACAGGCGTGGACATCTGAAATCGACGTACTGTATGCAAGTACAGAAGTCACACTTTGAAGACATTTAGTTACTGTTCATCTACAGTATTTTAAATAATTGGATTGGATTAGAGGTAAAATAAGAGACTCTCATGGGTCAGGAAATTTCTGGAATATATTATGCATATTCCAGAAATTCCCTGACCTATGGGAACCCTGTTGAAGGCTGAACTATTACATGTAAAACATGAATTCTGATGAGGAAAAATATTATGACTATTTAGAGTGCCTATAGTGACCCTGTTCACTGTGGAACTTTACCTGTGGATCTTTACCTAGGAACTGAGAAAGCAGAATTCCTAGTCCCATTTTCCATCATATGGACACAGCTACATGTCCAGAATTTAACTGGGGGGAGTGACACCATCAGAACACCATAAAGAACATTTTAAATTTGGCATATTACTGTAACGGAGGCCAGCTAGTCAGGTCTATGTGGGTAAACCTCACTCCCCTAATATCAAGTGGTAAATTAGTGACATGACATTAGAGGCTGTGGTCTTAAGCCTGGTTTATACTTCTGCGTCAAGTGACCGGCGTAACTCACGGCGCAGGCAACGCGCACAGCTGTGCATTTATACTTCTGCGCGCTTTCTCTGTTGGTCTGCATTAACACTTCCGAAACGCTAGGTGGCAGTGAGGTGTAAATGTTCCTCTGTGTCGAGTTTCTTCGCGTCTGTTTTGCTTTTCCTGAACACTTCCTGGTTGTGCAAGTGACTCAAACTCGCTCATTTTGAGGCAGGAACCGGCGGACGTGCAACAACTTTAACTATGAGGTAAACACAAAACAAAACTTTCCATCCGGAGCTCCTTCACCGGACACCACACTTGTAAACAATCGCTCGCGCCATTCGCACGGCTCTCGGTCCCTCCCAGACTCGTCAGCGTTACCAAACCGACCAATCACAGAGCTTGCGCTACGCGTTGTTGCGACGTGTAGTTACATTTTTTGAGAGGTATACGTAAGTGACGCCGACGGCTACGGCGAAGGGCTATGCGTCAGCGCCGTAGCATACGCCGGCGTTTGACGCAGAAGTATAAATCAGCCTTTAGGGTTCTTGGTAGTGCGTACAACTTTCATGCTGGAATTGTCAGTTTGAATACAGCTTGGAGTGGGTCAGTGTAGAACAGGAGGGGTTACATTAGTACTATGACCTCTATAAAAGTGAGGTTTAGTGGGGTGAATGTAACAAAGGCATGCTAGTCAGAGATATGAGAGGCCACTAGAAAGTCTTCTAGACTTTGTCTAGACCATTTTTAGACTTTTTGTCACCTTTGGCAACATTGCTATTCCAACCTGCTTGAACCTGCACCTCCTTACTTTATGTTTATCTATGAGAGCAAAGATAATAGCTGTGGAAATCTGGCAAGGCTATTTTATCTCTAACAAATATGAAGCGATGACTTCATCTTTAATAGAGAAGATACCAATGTTTTAAATGAATACTCTACATTAGCAATAATAACGTTATTAACCTTAAAGTTTATAACTTTTTCTCTGCTTCTCAGATGCTACAGTGTTTAGCATCTGAGAAGCTGAGAAAACTCATTTACTCATTAGAGCGCCCACCTCACACACTGAAACTGTGTGCATAGTTGTCGAATCATAGGGGTTACTTAAAAATACAATGTTGTCTAAACTGCTGGCAGCTAGCTCTCTGCAACTCTGCCACGGTCACTCACTGAAGCTAAGCAGGTCAGTACCTGGATGGGAGACCATATAGCAAAACTAGGTTGCTGCCGTAAGAGGTATTAGTGAGGCTAGCAGGGGGTGCTGAATATGTGGTTTGTGTGGGTCCTAATGCCCCATTATGTTAATGGGGACTCTACACTGCTCACTCTTTTGCTGCGTTCACACCAGACACCAGAGTGATCAAGATGTTAAGTCAATGCAAACGCGCGAATAGACATCCTGCGACGTGATATGCGTTAATGACGCGAAAGGCGCGGTGCGAATGGCGCGATACACGCGAATGGCGCGGCGCAAATTAAGCGTTTTGCACGTTTGATGCGCAAATCCCTTGAGTTCGAAAATCTGAACTTCAGCGGACATTCGCGTCGCGTTAACCAATCAGGAGCTTGCTATTGTGGGGGCTTGATTGTGATGTATCGCCTGTTGTCGGTGTCCCTGGGGAAATCCTCCAGCCAACACCGACAAGAAGTTCATCAAACTGGGCTGGGCTCAGTCAGAAGCACCACTGAAAGCCTCCATCATCCAGGTTCAGTTTCTGGCAGAGTTTATGAGTTTAAAGAGCTGGATGCACCTCTGAAAGGATGTAGTGGACTTAGAAACGGCCCTAAAAGTATCAACGCTGTTCATTAGCCTTCATAAAGCACATAAACACTGTTATTTTCTTCATAAAATCCATGCTAGCCTTTTAGCTGTGAAGCTAGAGTCACGGGGCAGACAGAAGCCCTGCCCATCATGCGAATCCACGTCTGTTCTGAAGTGAATTTGACTCGCGAATGAAGCGGATTTGATGCGCGAATGAAGCGGGGTTTGATGCGCGAATGAAGCGAGTAACCTCAAATGTTCACGCGGCTATTTACGCGCGATTAACGCGATTTATCCTCGCGTTCCGTGTCTGGTGTGAACACAGCATTTAAGATGAGACATATAAAAGAGTTCCTGACTTTCTGTGATCGTTAAAAATCCCAGGATGTCTTTTAAAATAGTAGGAATTTAACCCCAGTGTTCTGGCCAAATTTGCCCACATGGCCTCCAAACCATCTCCAAATCATAATTAGCTTCATTCTTGTCGCCTCTCCACCAATAAGCTGGTGTGTGGTCTGGCACAAAATTGCTGAGAAATTTTGTTTATTTCCCCCTTCTGCCACTATCAACAGGGAGGTTAAGAATTTTACTTTCTTGGGGTGGGGCAGGGCTCTCTGAGCTAGACAATCTTGTAATTGCGTTGTTTGCCTATGCCTAGAAATCATGCTGAAAATTTGCTTAGGTTTGAAGAAAGTGATTAAGAGTTCAGGGTGTTGCCCTGTCCTACAAATCCCACAGATATCAGTCCAACTGATGATTGGGATGCGATAGACCAAAAAGATTGCTCCACTTTAAACAGAACTTGAAGGACCTGCTGCAAAAGGCTTGGTGCCACAGGAGACATTTGGGGGTCTAGCAGAGTTCATGCCTCGGTGGTGTAGTCATCATTTGGCAGAAGGGGTAACACAAACAGAACATTAGGCAAATGGTCATAATGTTTAGGCTCATTTGTGTACATCTCAGTGTACAATTATATTCAATTCAGTTCAATTTAACTTTATTTCTTTAGTGCTTTTGAAGAAAACATTCAGATTGTGGAACATTTCAGCAATTCAGGCAGGCAGGAGAGTAGTGTAGAATGCAGGTGCTGTTCTAGTTAACTAAAGCTACTTCAATTCCGTTTAGTATGAATGTCACTGTGTAATGCAACGTCAGTGCAATGCAAATTATTTTTTCATGAATGTGTTCATGTTGCCTACCGTGGCTCTCAGCATGGAGGTCTTCCGAGTGGCTCTCTTCAGTCTTTCGCTGCTGCTGCTAGGAAATGGAAGCAGGTTGCTACTCTTCCTATAATGACAAGGCCTTCCACCCATTCCAGACCAGTGTTTGTCCTGCAGTCTTGGCCTGCCTGGTCGTCTTCTGGCACTTGGAGGTTTGGAGACAGTGATGGGGACTGATCTACAGGGGGTCCGTTGTTTGACCTTCACATCCCCCTCCGTTACAGCATGAAACTGAGATCCTGTTTGGGTTTCATCAAATTAGAAATTTTTGCAATCAAACAAATGCAAGGTGCATTGATCACTATTTGTGAATCACTTTACCATAAAGTTCTTGTCGTTCTCGCTTAATCTTTGCTTTTTGATTGGCTTCCAGTTTGACCACAGAGAACGGGGAGGGGCCTGTAACAGCCGGGCTAAACGACAGATCTCTGAATGCTGGAGCTTTGACGTCTTGGCCTTCCTCACTGCCATAACTGCCCTCCTCTTCTTCTTCCTCTGTAGCATGAAAATGGCATTTCAATATGGCTGATCACATCTATATGTATATATATATATATATATATATATATATATATATATATATATATATATATATACATATATATATATAATTATTCAAAACATGATATGCTGGAATCACTATAAAGAAATTTTGTTAGCAGTTTGCAGCTACATCTTGATCTAATTTGGAAGTTATGCAAACATTTGTACACCATATGAAATAAAAAATGAGTTATAGTGTTGTTTTTAGGAATGCTGAAGAAGCAAATACGCTAATTATTTATGGGAACAACTTTATATTCTGCTTTTTTTCTAATTTTTTAAAACATTATTGCTATTTTAGTGTGGACTAAGGGAAAACATCATCAGAAAGTCTCTGAAAGTCTTCATAAAATCTGCATCTGTTTTGAATCTATTTTTCTTCTTGCGTGTCTATAGTTGTGGCAGCAAATATTTTATATAGACCTGCTCATAAATAACTGATTCTTTACAGGTTGGTTAAATTTTCTGCTTCTTTCAAAAACATTTTATTTTATGTTGTGTTGGTGTACGCAACCCAAATGTATGTTTCAATGTATACTAGGCAAACATTGCCTCTAGGCAAAGGACGGTCACGCCGCCCTCAACCCTAAAGTGAAGGCGTGGGTGGGGGCGACTAGACGCGGATATAGCTGAGGGCGCGGGTGTTGAGGGTAGTGTCGCGGACGCCGCCCTCTCTATTCTGCCGCCCTAGACGCGGATATAACTGAGGGCGCGGGTGGTGAGGGTAGTGTCGCGGACGCCACCCTCGACGAGGATATAACTGAGGGCGTGGGTGGTGAGGGTAATGTTGCGGACGTCGCCCTCTCTATTCTGCCGCCCTAGATGCGGATATAACAGAGGGCGCGGGTGGTGAGGGTAGTGTCGCGGACGCCGCCCTCTCTATTCTGCCGCCCTAGACGTGGATATAACTGAGGGCGCGGGTGGTGAGGGTAATGTTGCGGACGCCGCCCTCTCTATTCTGCCGCCCTAGATGCGGATATAACAGAGGGCGCGGGTGGTGAGGGTAGTGTCGCGGATGCCACCCTCGACGAGGATATAACTGAGGGCGTGGGTGGTGAGGGTAATGTTGCGGATGCCACCCTCTCTATTCTGCCGCCCTAGACGTGGATATAACTGAGGGCGCGGGTGGTGAGGGTAATGTTGCGGACGCCGCCCTCTCTATTCTGCCGCCCTAGATGCGGATATAACAGAGGGCGCGGGTGGTGAGGGTAGTGTCGCGGATGCCGCCCTCTCTATTCTGCCGCCCTAGACGCGGATATAACTGAGGGTGCGGGTGGTGAGGGTATTGTCGCGGACACCACCCTCGATGCAGATATAACTGAGGGTGCGGGGGTGTGAGGGTAGTGTCGTGGACGCCGCCCTCTTTACTCTGCCGCCCTAGACGCGGATATAACTGAGGGTGCGTGGGTGTGAGGGTAGTGTCGTGGACGCCACCCTCCCTATTATGCCGCCCTAGACGAGGATTTAACTGAGGGCACAGGTGGTGAGGGTAGTGTCGTGGACGCAGCCCTCTCTATTCTGCCGCCCTAGGTGGCCGCGCCTAGGTCCCCTCTATGGACGCGCCGGCCCTGACTACAAATAATAGCTTGTGAAAACCATATGCAACTTTTAATTCCCTCTCAAGATTCTCATCTGAAGAATATTTGGGCCTAAGTGGACCAATTCAATAAAGACCACACACATATCCCAATTACACTGTCCTCGAACAGCTCTTCTCAAACATTTAGTATTTCAAGAGAAACAGGCCCAGATTTATGGAGACACATATACTTAGGGCTGGGACACATCAAGTCAACGGTTGGCCATTGGGCTTTGTTGCTCCGTCAGTAAGACTAGTTGGATGTGTGGTCCACACATTGACTGCGTCCAAAATCGTCTACTGCTCAAGTAGGTTCTACATTTGAATTAGATTTTACTACATGACCATTACAAAAGTGTGTTCTACGCACTACATCCGCTATTTGTCATTAACGCATGACCTACCCATTTCAGCTGCGACGCTTCATTCTCATTCATGAACTCTCTCATGTGGCATCATAGAAAAGCATAGCATTCATCGAATGAGCACTTTAGAAGCTTGCCTGAAGTAATAGGTCATCCAGCTACTTCTTTCATACTGTTTTTCAAATACTATGAGTTGCAGCATACTACTCGGCTCGCATACCGTTTTTAACATACTATATAGTATGGAAGTATGTGATTTAAGACACAGCCATCGGCTCTTATCAGGTTAATGTTAGAGCTCGTTGGCCCGATTTAGCATGTTGATTTGGCGTTGGACCATTGGCTGAAGAGATCACTCTAAAGCCTGTTTTATACTTTTGCGTCAAGTGACCGGACCAACACTTTCGAAACGCTAGTTGGCAGTGAGGTGTAAATGTTCCTCTGTTTCGAATTTCTTCGCTGCTGTTTTGCTTTTCCTGAACACTTCCTGAATGTACAAGTGGCTCAAACTCGCTCATTTTAAGGCGGGAACCAGCAGATGTGCAACAACTTTAACCATGAGGTAAACACAAAACAAAACTTTCTATCTGGAGCTCCTTCACAGGACTCCACACTCTAAACAATCGCTCCATTGGGCTCGCGCCATTTGCCTGGCTCTCGGTCCCACCCAGATTTTTCAGCGCTACCAAGCCGACCAATCACAGAGCTTGCGCTACGCATCGTTGCGACATGTTGTTACATTTTTTGAGAGGTGCACGTCAGCGACGTCGACGGCCACGGCGTAGGGCTATGCGTCAATGGCGTAGCATACGCGTGTGCGTTTGATGCAGAAGTATAAATCAGCCTTAATTGGTTATTCAGCAACGAATCAAGAGCGCAAGTGTGACATATTGAAGTGACATATTAAAGCGCATCAGAGATTGGGATTCCACTTGTAAAAAGAGAAAACAGACTACTGCCCCCATGCGAAGTGGATAGACACATCCACAGCGCAAAATGCTGCAAAGTTTTGGTCTAGATACGATACAATCCGAGGCAACAACACAGTTTGACTTTGTTGGTGCTAGTTGTTTGGCGTTGGCTTGGTGTGTCCTGGCACTTAGAGTGTTGGAAAACTGTGACATTCAAAGTTTAGCTATGCCTATTTTACATTCCCCAAATGAGACACTCTCACCTTGCTCAGAGGACTCGCTCTCTGGGGGTGACGTCTCCCCATCCTCGTCCACCTCCTGTCTCCTTCCCTGCGGGATCCTGGCCCCTGGCTGCTGCAAACAAGCTGTTGCTCCTGGACTTTTCTTCCTTTCCCTTTTTCCTGCCACAGATTCGTGCCGCTTCCAGCTCTCCTGTGTTCCACTGTCTCCACTTGTGGCTGGAATAGAGCAAGAGACAATCATTTCCATTCAGAAATTCAAGAAAACTACATCTCTCTTGATACCTTTGCAAGGATATGGTGGAAGTCATGCTTCATTTAGCTAGAAAGAATTTTAAATCCACTTTTTAGGTCTTACTACTTAGTACTGAAAAGAGTTTTTGGTTCTCAGAAGTGTTCTTGGAGCTTGGTACAATTACATTTGAACCACTGACAACACATGGACTGTTTTGACAATGTTTTTGGTTCTTTTATTGGACTTTGAACATCTCTGGACCATTGCTGTCTAAGGGGAAAGGGGTCTTTAATTTATCTAAAATATCCTAATTGGTGTTCTGAAGATGAACAAACGTCTTAGATAATTGGAAAAACACAAGGGTGGGTAATTAATCACGGAATATTCACTTTTGGATGATCTAACCCTTTAAAGTCAGACATTACATGATATACACACATTGGCAATGTGGAAGATGGGCTTTACCTGTGTCGCTGAGGCTCTCAGACTCATTGGCTGTGCTGAGCTGTGCCGAGTCTCTTTTAGAGCCGCTGTGGCCAGAGTACAGGCTCTTGGATGCCGTGGTTCCAGATGTATGTTGTCCACCTGGGACTCTCTGCTTGAGTTGTGTAATTTGTTGATCTATGGTGCTGTTCTTCCGATAACACTGTGATTTCATCTAAAAAAGAACAAGAGCAGTCCTATCAGGGAAACACCTAGTTTTGTTCTCTGCGACTTTTTGATTCGTCTCTAATGCCGAGTTCACACTGCAAGATTTTAGCCCTGATTTTGTTTTGTGAAATTAAAAACAAATGGCTAAAATTGCAGGCCAATCAGTTGTATTTTCATGCTGCATATCTGGATCTGTCAGCAATTCGTAATCATAATTCATAATTATTTACCTATCACTTCTCGCCTGCATTTGATCATGAAATGTCATTTGCGAGCCGGACAGAATTGCCTGTGATTCCTTCTATACTGTAGACATGCAGTGTGTAACATCCTGTTGCAGACCCATCACGCAGAGTAGCATGTGAATGCTACCCCAGACAGACATGCAGTGTGAAAACAATGGCGATCCGCCGATTTTATATATCATGCAGTGTGAATTTGCCATAACTTAAGCTGTTTATAGGCTGTTCATATATCTCCAAATCAATTCTGTGGAAGGAAACATGAGCTGACGAATTTGCTGTGATGTGAGAACACGAGAATAAAATGTGTGGACGCTTACCTGCGCAGAGCTTAGACGGCTAAAGCCTCGATTGGACAGTTTTTTCCTCTTTTTCTGAGAGTCTCCGCGCTCCTCTGCTAGTGGACTTAGCCCCGCCCCCACCAACCTGTCAATCAAAAAAACACCGGAGGCGGTTAAAGTTGGGTTGAACCAATACATTTCTCCTTCAGAAACAGCACTATAGGCTGTTTGTGCTTGCTATAATCAGCCTTGAAGTTGGCCTCTTCAAAGGAGAGATGCTTTGGTGAAGAAAAACGATTTGTTCACTTAAACTGCTTGTTGAAAATCACTGAGTCATTCATGACTGAAACACCCCTACAGCTCAGGCAACGTTGGTATGAAAGGAGGAAACAAAGCAGATCAGACAGAGGATGAGGCTGAGCTGCCTTGCAGTGGACTCAAATTTCTGCCTGCTCTGATGAGCATTTAAAAAAAAAAGAAGAAAAAAGCATTGGTCTCCACACCTCACGCTTGAGGAACTGTGATCAGACAGCCATCCCGTCGCTGTTCCAGGGTAGATGGTGGATAAAAAGCCCTGCGTGAATTACCAGGGGAGATTCTCCCTACAAAAAAAGGGGGTCAGTTGCTTTGAAAAGACAGAGAGAGCCATTTGTGGGCACTGCATGTTAAACGCTATTGTTCTTAGCGTACATCAGAGCCGTCGCAGGAGTATTTCCATATCAGCATCGGCCTCAGCTCTGAAACAGGCTGGGAGGGAATGCCCTTGAATTTCCCTGGAAACCTGCCCGACAGACCGAACACAAGACGGAGGCGCACAGACAAAAGATTACCTTCCGTCCTCCAGCAAAGAGCCCGGCGCTAGTGTGCCGCCAGTCACACGAGCTGTTTAATCGCCGTTAGACATCTCTGGAGAGGCTGTGTTTGTGCAAACGTAATTGAGATTTTGTTTGCCATAATGTGCTTTTGCTTACGTGATTCCTGAGGGGAAATGCTGATTTCCTCTGAGACAAAATGGAAATCTAAGTTGTGTTTCATTTATTTATACACAATTAGCCTCACTGCAAAAATGATAACTGTAAGAATAATTATATCAATGTTTTATTTATTAAGTATAATGTTCATTATTAGCACATGTCACTGTAAAGGTGATCAATACAGGTTATGACTGCGCTGACTTTCTTTTGTGGTGTTGACCTAACCGGCTACAGCAGGACATATTGTTGATCTCTTGGTTTGTGTTTGCAGTGTCTCATTTGGGCTGCGTCTAAAAGCTTAGCCCATCGACTTATTGCTTTGCTTGCCCATTGAGGCACTGACTCTGGAGGCAGCATTTGTAGTCAAAGTCACCTCGTAAAACGGATTTCAGACAGACTTCTGAGAAAGCAGGATGAAGAGATGATGCTAACCATCAAGGACTTCGAGAACAATACTTAATACGTAAACAAACTTCAATAAACATGTACACAGACAACACCTATATACTATAATACTGCTGGTTAACCATGTGTATATATAATAACTTATATTCGATTGTTTCTTTAAGTAAAGTTTATTTATAAACAAATTTCGAGAGGATCACGTGATTTTTTAACAGCTGTTCCAGCATTAGCTCATGACTAATTATCCTATCAGACAATTCCCAACTCACTATAAATAACCAGAGTTTTCTCATCTCAATTTCTTCGTCTTGAAGACACCCCCCCCCCCTCCCCTCGCACCTAACTCTACTTTCCGTTCTTTCAAACAGGCGATATGGAAACCAGTGATTAGCACTGTTGCCTCACAGCAAGAATGCCCCTGGTTTAATTCCCTTCCAAACCAGGCGACATTTCTGTGCGGAGTTTTGCTCGTTCTCTCCGTGCTCGTGCGGCTTTTCTCTGGTTTCCTCCCACATTATAAAAACAAGCACTCCAAACAATTAATCCCAAATATTTTTAGCCAAGCTCTGAGTCCATATCTGACACTTAGCTACAATAAGCAAGGGGGAAGTCATCGAGATCTGCCTAAGCTCAAACTCCCCTCTCGCCCTGCAGTGGGAGGGAGCCCAGGTCTTGAGGATCTTATAAGCTCAGGCTTTCTCCCGGGACAATATGCCAAACAAGCTTTATTATCAATCATCAGCTAAAGGTGAACTCTTGAACTTAATTCGATTGTAATGCGATAATAAGCACCTTTCATAAAGTTGCTTTGAAACAATAATTATTGTATAAAGCTTTAGACAAATAAACTTAAATTTTATTTAATCATGTACAACAAAATAGAGGAAGCTCTGGGGATAACTAACATACTACAATAGTAACTTCATGCTAGAAATGACATCAGGTATGGAGAACTGTTGGTCAAAAACTGCAGTGTGCAGTTTAGCAGTTGATCAACAATCTTGGCAAATCTCTGGTTGGGGTCTCGTTGAGATCTCAGCTGGTCTCAGTTTATTGGGATGTCAGCGTCTCAATTTGGTCTCTATTTAAACTCATTGCTGGATATTAAAGAGATGTCTCGTGACTTTTCTTTCCTCCGGGATAGAATCACGCTGGCTGTGCTGTGCATCAGCTTTTGTTGATACTAGTGTGTGTATATGTGCAGTCACGAATAAGAGTGTGTATATGCTGGTGTTTGTTTGTGTGTGATTGACAGGCAAGGGGACAGAGGGCGCAGTGGAGTGTGTGTGTGTTTTCCCTGTGAGGGAGACCCCACAGCGCTGCGAACTGACAAACACAACATGACACGGCCCCTCCTCTTGGAGCAAGCTCATGGCGGCTAATTAAACAGAGCTCCGTCACGCACACACTTAACATCACTGTAAGGAATTCACAGAGACATAGTGCCAGACAAAAACGCACACACATAGGATATGAATTATTACCTACTGACCCACTGCCCCCAATAAACAAGAGGCTAAATGGAAAGCAGCAAGTGACAATGTCATGCATGGCGTCACCTGCACCAAAACACCGAAGGAGCAGATCTGTCTATTAATAGCATCTCTTTATGTGATGCAGTGTCACAGTGTGATACCCACGAGTCCAGAACCAGCAGTGACAACACACACTGTCACACCACAAACCCAAACAACATAATTAGCCATGGGGATTAAAAGGAATTGAACCAGGTTCCAAATCTGATTCCAGTTAACGAGCAATTCCCAACATCGGTTTGTTTACCACAGAGCGTATTTGACAGATTTGCATTGTTTATTGATATGTAGATGAGGTGACATTTGCAGCAGATTGTGGATATCTATAAAGGTTACAGACATCTCATTAAGCTAACTATATGAATATATGAAAGGCTTGAAATGATGTTATCATTTTGGTGACGTGTGCTGTCAAAAATGATCAGTGCCTGTACAAATAATGCTATATGCTTTAGAAATTATAATATGCTTTAGGTAGAATGTGAAATGAGCAAACTTGAAACCTGATTTTAATACGTCCAGCATAGCTACTGAAATACACATACACACCAGGGCTCAACAATAAGGACTGCCCGGTGGCCCAGGGCCAGCGTGAGAGACAGCTTGGGACAGTAGACAGGATAATTACTGGCCCGATTGGGACAGTGCTGCCACTGCAACATTTAATTGGTCTGCGACTATTTGTCAATTGCGTGCATTTTAAGTTTAGGCCCCGTTTACATTAGTGCGTTTTAGTTTTAAAACGGCGTTTTAGAATGAAAACGATCCGCGTCCACACTTGCGTTTTACCCAGCGTTTCTGAACTGCTCTCCGTCCACACCAAAACGCTGAAAACGCACATCACGTGACCACACACACACTCTCGGGCAAGCGCTCCAGCATTTCTACCCAGATGAGAGCTCTGCTTGTCGAACTGCTCATCAAGCATCTCCCGCTGGATCTAATCCCACTATATTTGCTAAACGTGATATTTCATTCATATTGTTGTCTTTATCTAACGACATAGGCCAATTCCCTGACTTTGGTCATTGGAATCTATTAAGTTACTTGTTCACGGGTAACTTGTTTTGGTTAAGCGCAAAGATAAGTTAATAATTAATCCAGGTACATTGACTGATCGCTTGCCTTTATTTCCTACAATGTATAAACTTATTGTATGTTATAATTTTATAATTATCGATTATTAAAACTGATATTCAGCAAAAGAGAGGGTGTGTTTCGTATTTTCACTGAAATTGAAAGGAGGCAGTTGTTATAGGCTCCGTTTTGTTATAAATATCCACACAGTGAAGATGACGCTCATATATGCAGCACGGCGCCTCAACATTTCTGCAGTCTGTTAAGTTTTCTAATATTAAAAAGAAAATAGGCAGTTCCTTAAATCATGTTTACATTTTATTGTTGAGAAAGTGAAACAACGTAGCCATGGTGATGTGAATGAAGTTATAAAGTACAGTTCCCTTTGAAGATTGACGCGTGTCCTCGGTATGTTTTCCATATCAAACTGAGAAAAGAGACTGCAGCCTTGATCAAACTTGCGAAGTCTTAACTTACAAGAAGAGGATGCGAGACTGAACTGTGTGTGGGCTACTTAATATTGAGGAAAAGCCCCAATCAGATAGGCGAACATTTGCAGCCCTGCCTCCGTTTTCAGATGTCTCCGTCTTTCCCCATCCACACTGAGACGGAGCAGCAGCGTTTTAGAATGAAAACGGCCTCTCCATCGTTTTCAAAAAGCTCAGTTTTCGGCGCTAGAGAACTCCGGCGTAGTGTGGACGGATGGCGTAACCGTAGCAAAACTTATGCGTTTTCAAACTAAAACGCACTAGTGTAAACGGGGCCTTAGTCTTCAAATACTGCCTTCTCTGTGATGTCGTTAACACCATATTGCTTTTTGGTTCCTCTTGTCTGATTTGATGTTTTGAGCATGCTATTTTTTTCCGTAACCTGGTAAAAGCCAGTACAGCGAAGAAACAGCAACATGGCAGCAACATCAAATTATAAGGCTAAAACAAAATGTCTGTTTCTAACGTCTTGGAAGCAGACATTTACGTGTGAACAATGCGACAAACAAATAAATAAATAAAAAAACTGATAAAAATTTTTTTTAAAAGTGATGTTTTGCACGGTTTGCCATCAGTTTGACAAGTCAGCCACCTTTTGTTAAATAATTTCGAACCACAATAAAATACCTCCACATTTTACCCTGCTCTTTTTGTTTGGAAAACACT